CCTTCCTTCCTTCCTTCCTTCCTTCCTTCCTTCCTTCCTTCCTTCCACCTAACCCCCCAATTGTTCCTTCTTTCCTTCTTTCTATCTTTTTCTCTTTTTTATTTCTGCAGAGCAGAAAAGGGAGCAGATTTCCATATTTGATTGAGGATCGCGAGAGTAAATCAACTACCCAGAATTTCTGGAGAAACTATTCAGAACTGGTCATAACTATGATCCTGAGATAGGCATTAAGCATGTCTTCTTTAGATTGTATAAGAGGAGCTACACTTTCTCTAGATATTGAGAGACAAGTACGAATGGCCTAGGTAAAGAGTATTTAACTCAAGATTAAGATGCCCAGTGTTTCCTCCCGCTTCGCTCCTTCACAGCTTGGTCATCACATATTAATGGGTGTATCTCCTAAGGACTTTTTTTTTTCTAACTAGCTTTGTAGCCATAGCTTAATTCAGGGTACCATAGCTTTTGTCCTAGATTAATATAACTTATCTAGTCCAGGCCTTATGTGCCTTGTCTTCAAACCATTCCAGACATCGAATTTGAAGAGGTATTTCTAAATTACAAATCTGATCTTGTGACTGCTCCATTATATCTACATCTTTTTCAGTGACTTTCTGATATACATGAATATTTAATTCATGACTACTTTTTTATTTTGTGAGAGGAAAGGGAAACATGCATGAATGTGTGTGCACACATGTAGCATGTTGAAGGTCAGAGGACATTCTCTGGTAACATACTACATGCACCACCATCCACCTTTCATCTTACTTTAAAAATATATATTTTATTTATTATTTTTATTTTATGTATATGGGTGTACTGCCTGCATGTATGTAAGTGCACCAGTGTTGTACAATGCCTGTAGAGGTCAGAAGAGGGTGTCAATTCCTCTGGTACTGTAGTTATGGATGGTTGTTAGCCATCATGTGGGTGCTGGGAATCAAACCTTGGCAAGAGCAGCCAGTGCTCTTAACCACTGAGCCATCTCTCCAGCCCCCTTTAAAAAAAAAAAAAAAGACAGGGTCTCTCACTGACCTGGAACTCACAAATAGGCTAAGTTGGCCAGTCATCAAGCTTCCAGAGACCTGCTGTGTTTGACTTCCCAGTACTGGGATTTAAAGTGCGTGCCACCACATGCTACACTTTTTTTTTTTTTGGCCTGGATTCTGAATTTGAACTCAGGTTCTCCTGTTTGCAAGATAAGTACTTTAGCAATTGAGCTATTTCCCCAGCCCAAATCTACTTTTCATGAACGCAGCTTCTCTCACCCCTGCTTTGAAGTCTATATTCCAACCAAGCTGAGATACTTTCAATTCTCCAGACTCCACATGCTTTCTTGTTTTTGCTCTTTGCACAAGATCTTCAGTTCAAAGCCTTTTCTCTACCCTCATCTGTGTCCTGCAGCAAGCTCAGAAGGTATTTTCTCCAGGAAATCTTAGATTCCCTAAGATTGGATCATTGTTCCTCAGATCTGGCTCCTCTCTGATTGCCATTATACTGTGGTTGCCACAAAAGCAAAGAATGGTTCTAACTTAATCACTGTTCCACCCCTAGGGTTTAGGACATAAACATATGTATCATAAGTGGTACAGACCATGCTTTCCTATAACCACAGTAAAATATGTGAGTTTCATGATTTAAAATTTCAGTGCACTGAGGAAGATGGGAAAGTCACACGACAAAAGGCTGTCACATAGGTCACAGTGACAGAGCCAGGGCCTCCTGGGAAGGAGAACACGGACCTCCTTAGAGGGAGTGCTACTCCCACTGCTACTGAGGTCGCACTTACCCAGAGCAGGCCTTTCAGAGAGAGCCTTCAGAAGCAACAAAGTACAAGCTCTCTTGCCAACAATATACATTATGGAATGGTGTAGGAATGTTTATGGAAAGCAAATGCTATGCCTAAGATTTAGATCACTGGAATTTGGCCTGGGAGGCAAAACCTTCTTGGGAAACACCAACCATTAGCCCATTCGCCCAAATGTCTCCTATGATAAAAAAGGGGAGGAAATGAACTGAAGACTACAGGCAGCAAAGGGACTCCACACAATCCACATCTGACATTAGATACAGTAAACATATGCACTTACGATATAAAAATCACCAAGTTGGTATTGTTTTCCTTTTCTTCGTCCACACTGATGACTATAAATGTTTTTTTTAATAAAAGGAAGCACAATTGTTCTAGAAGTTAAATGAAAAAAAAAAAACAAAAAATGAAAGTCTTTCAGTTTCTCTTGCAAGCAATTCTTCAGAGTTCTGAGAGTTTTATAACATACCTATTTTTCCCAAATTGCTTATATTCATACACAGTAAGGGACTGATCGTGAGTAAAGAAGAATACAGTCAGTTCTCTGCAGGCATCACGTCCATTTCTAGAAAAACCAGATGAGACAAAAGATTTTTAAGTACAATCATTTTTTTGACAGTAGTTCTTTTAATTTGTTTATTTTTATTTTATTTTATGTGTATGAGTGTTTTGACTACATTATGTAAGTACATGCCACCACATGTGTACAACGCCTAAAGAGGCCAGAAGAGGGCATCAGACACCCTGGAACTGGAGTTACAGATAGTTGTTAGCTGTCATGTAGGTGCTGGGAACCAAACCCAAGTCCTTCGCAAGAGCAGCCAGTGTGCTTAACTGCTGAGCCATCTCTCCAGCCCCTAAAATAATTTTTAAATAATGAGCTAAAATTATACATCTCAAGTAGAGATAATGTATCTCCTTTGAACATGCGGTAGTGAGGGTTACACAAAGTTGATTCAGCTTGCTGAAAAGCTCAAATGAAGTAATATCTGAATAACACAAAAGAAACTACCTTACAGTGGTATGTGCCCTGATACATCACAATGCAGGCTGCCAACCACCAGAGACTTAAGATGAAGTAGACAGCCTTTAAAAATGTCAGGTTTGCAAAGTTTATGAGATTGAGATCAGAAATTAAAAATCATCTTCTCTGTCATTTGTTCTACTAATAATTTGTTAACTCAAACTACAAAACTTAAATTAAGCATCTGACATAAAAGTTAAGTTTTAGGCAGTTTAGAAACCTCTACTAGTAATGCACAAGTTCTAAATTTCACTTCAAATCTTTTCAAAAGACATTTAAAATCGATTTCTAAATAACTCCTAATTAAAACATTTGTCTTACAGGTTCATATTTTCCATTATCTAAGATTGTATATTCTAAATTGATATTTTTCACTATTGGGGCAAATTTATCTGATCTTATTACATCTATGTGAAAAAGAATATATCATTACAATCACAGAATTAAAAAATAAAAATCACAATTACCTTGATAAGATCCTGCCATCAAATTCTACTTTATGAGAAAGCACATTTTCAGTGAATGTGGACTCAGTTCTTATCCTGTTGAAGACACATTTGTCAACAATTCTTTAAAAGCAACTGCACTTGATATAAATGATAAAGACACAAAAAAGTTATAGAAATATTTTGAAATAGCACAGATTAAAGATGGGAATAAAACTCATTTGAATCATTAATGTACACCGACACAAAAGATGTATTTTGTTAGAGCTTGTGGTACCGAGGTGTCATAGAGTGAATAATGGACCGAGCGGACTTGGCACTGTGCAGGGCCACCTGAGGCGTCCTTTCCCTTTCCCTTCCCCTCCTTTGCCTCTTCCTTCTTCTTCCCTCCCCTTTCTTTTCCTTTCCATTTATAGTAAGGCCTTGCTATGTAGTACATGCTGGTCTCGCACATGAAGAGATTATAGACACAAGCCTCCACACCTGGCATGAAAGCCATTTCTGATCCTGTTCTTTGTTTCCCACCCAGCACTTGCAATTATGGCTGACTATGAACATAGCACTGTCAATAAGCTCCTAGAAGACTCCTGTTCTGATGATGCAAGGCTATGGTCAGAGGTCCTGCCTATGAACATTAAGGGATTATGATATTAGAAGCTGCTACAACCATCAAGCAACAAAGGTAGAAAAGCCAGAAAGATCTAGGGAGGCCAGCCTGGAGCTACAACATCACTGAGCCACAAGACCAAATCTAACACATGTCAACTTTCAAGTAGCTGGTCACATAAGAAAATTAAACCCAGAAGGAACTGTGGTCCCCTCCAGTGAGCTGGAGCTGTGGTCCCCTCATGTGAGCTGGAACTATGGTCCCCTCCTGTGAGCTAGAGCTGTGGTCCTCTCCAGTGAGCTGGAGCTGTGGTCCCCTCCTGTGAGCTAGAACTGCAGACCCCTCCAGTGAGGTGGAGTTGTGGTCCACTCCTGGGAGCTGGAATTGTGGTCCCCTCCAGTGAGCTAGAGCTGTGGTCCCTTCCTGTGAGCTGGAGCTGTGGTCCCCTCATGTGAGCTAGAACTGTCGTCCCCTTCTGTGAGCTAGAGCTGTGGACCCCTCTAGTGAGCTGGAGTTGCAGTCCACTCCCGGGAGCTGGAGGTATGGTTTTTTCTATGAGCTGGAGCTATGGTCCTTTCTATGAGCTGAAGCTGTGGTTCCCCTCCTGTGAGCTGGAGCCGTGGACCCCTCCTGTGAGCTGGAGCCGTGGACCCCTCCTGTGAGCTGGAGCTGTGGTCCTCTCTTGTGGGCTGAAGTTCTGATCCTCTCCTATGAGCTGTAGTTGTGGTTCTCCTCCTGTAAGCTGAAGCTGTGGTCCTCTCCTGTGAACTGGAGCTGAGGTTTGCCTCCTATGAGCTAGAGCTATGGTTCCCCACCTCTGATCTGGAGCTATGGCCCCCTCCTATGAGTTGTAACTGTGGTACCCTCATAATAATATGGACTCTCAGTCCCAGGAGGGACAATCAGAATTAATTGTGCTGGGTCAGGTGTTCACCTATTGTTGAAGATAAATGCATCTTTCAACTCTCACCGGAGAAGTTTCCTTACACAGCAGATGGTAATTGACACAGAAACTTATGGTTTTCTAATGTGTGGGGAGGAAGGGGCTGCAGAGCACTGATCTCTGGGTAAGACACCTGTCAGGCTTCTTGAGCTCAGGACCTGGGAATCATTGCAGAGGAGGAGGTGGAAAGACTGTAAGAGCCAGAGGGGCCATGGTGGTGGTGGTTGGGGGCAGAGTTCTCCAGACAGCTGGCCAGTTACTCATATGAACTCACAGAAATGGTGACAGCATGCACAAGTCCTGTGCAAGCTCGAGTGGATGAGCCCACACTGGAGAAGATTTGGGGATTCAACTTAGACTCTATAGGCTTTATTACCCAGAGCGAGTACATTGAATTAAGTGGATGGGAGAGGGGTATAAATGTCATCAAATTATAATGTCTGGAAATAGAAAAATTCAATAAAAATGCTAAAAAGAAAAAAAAAGAAAGAAAAAAAGAAAAATAAACCCTGAGTCTAGCCCTGTCAGTAAGGCTTGCAGTTATGGGCAGCCAAAAGCAGTCCTTAGTGACACAACAGTGGAAAAGGGTATAGTCGAAGTTCAAGCCTTGGAATGTACTGATCATTTAGTCATTATAGTCCAGAGAGCAACGATGACCTTCTACAGTCTCCCATCTCTAAAGCTGTTTTCAAATATGAGGTAAAACTCAAATGCATACCCTTTGTCACCCTACAGCTAACAATAACCTTTTTAAAGAGATGTGAAGATTGTATAATGTGTCATTACTTCTCATATAATGTTATGATACTCTCCCCACAAAAATGCAGCAATAATGAAATAACAATGGTATAGAGAATCAGGAACAGGAAACAGTAGCATTCTATCCCCTCTAGAGTTTGTAAACACAGAGAAGAGCCACAAAGGCTTGGTCATCTCAATTTAATTTATTCTAGTGGTATGAATGCTCACTATATGCCTGAAACAATTCCAAATGCTGAGAAAACGGCAGCAGCAAACACAGCTAATACTTATTGAGTACTTCCTAGGTCCTAGTCATTATTAAATCATTTAAATATCCATCAGTTTATTTAATGATCACAATAAAACTCTAAGTACTACTGTTTTCATTTAACACATCAATTTTATAGTGGGAAATAAGTAAGTTGCCCAAGGCTATATGAGAACTTGGCAGAGCTAGAAAACGACATTGCCTTTAACCATCACGTTATTACTTCTTTCAAAGGTAAAAGGATGAAGTAATTTCATCAAAGAGCCTGGAGTTATCTCAAAAAGATGAAAGTAAATGCACATTTACATCATGAAATGCAGAATGATACACTGTGTTCTAGGCGCCCGTAAACAGCACAAACATTTCTCTCTATACAGGTCTGAACCAATACAGAAAGAAAAATTAAACATATTGAAGATCAAAGATGAATTTTAATGTTGAGAAAGCTGCTGGAAAGCATGGTTTAGGCATATGACAGGCTAATGCTTAGCACTAGGATTAAACAGACTGATCTGCTTCATTTCAGTGGGGAGGGAGTAAGAAGTGTGTGCCTCTACAGGCAGCTGCTGCCCTAGCAAAGAGGAGAAAAAGGGTTGTATAAATTAAACATATTGAAGATCAAAGATGAATTTTAATGTTGAGAAAGCTGCTGGAAAGCATGGTTTAGGCATATGACAGGCTAATGCTTAGCACTAGGATTAAACAGACTGATCTGCTTCATTTCAGTGGGGAGGGAGTAAGAAGTGTGTGCCTCTACAGGCAGCTGCTGCCCTAGCAAAGAGGAGAAAAAGGGTTGTATTACAGTCAAGTTCTGCTTCCAAATGTATGAAGCAGAGTTCTCCCCAA